CTAGGTAGGTAGGTACCTACCTACCTACCTACCTAGAAGAGCACGGATCTTGGTGACCCCGCTAAACCTATGAAAAATGACGCTTATTTGTCCCAGCCTCATTATTTCCATCCTTATATTTATAACTTGAAGTTTGACGTTTGACGTTTATGCTTGACGTATGGCGTTTGGGACGAGAGCGTTAAAATCGCGGTGCATTTAGAACAGGTTCTGCGATGCTTAACCTGTTTGGTTAGCAGTGGTTCTGTGGGCCGTGGGAAGTGGGATTGGGGGGGGGGGGTTGAGGGGTCAGTGTGTGTGTGTGTGTGTGTGTGTGTGTGTGTGTGTGTGTAAACCCACTTATAGTCTACCTTTGAAAATGTTCTAATATATATATATATATATATATATATATATATATATATATATATATATATATATATATATATATATATATATATATATATATATGCAGTCATCTGTAATAAGACATTTCCTACGTACTTCAATTAGCTCTAAACATACTTGCTTGCTATCTTGTATTTAATTCTCAAATTGATATCCTTAACGCTGTATTTTGGGGTAAATACCTTCCCAACTGGTTTACAGGAAGGATATTGGTACATAAATTTCTACTGATATCTTGCTGTGTCTGTGTCTTCGTTCATAATGATAACATTCATCTTCAAGATCAATAACCAAGTTTGCTGTTTGATACAGTCTTGAAAGACGTCAAAAGATGAACAAAACACTGCTATTTAAAGATGTTGAAACCTGAACATTCTGGTCTTAATACATTAATAACATCAGTGAAAAGCTGCTTTTGCCTCCTTTCCTCCCCAAAAAAAGGTCTCAATAACATGACAAAATATCCCAAATTTCCCCCAAAAAAGGTTTCAATAACATGACAAAATATCCCAAATTTCCCCCAAAAAAGGTTTCAATAACATGACAAAATATCCCAAATTAAACCCCTGAAATGAAATTCATGTCGTTTCGACTTGTTCTTGATCTTATAATCACCTGATTAATGTTCCTTGATGGTTCGAAATGTTGTAATTTGTATGACTATCTATCGCTAGCATATTTGGTTATATTTTGCTTTACTTATTTTGCAATTCAAACAAATTAGACAAGTGGAATAGGCAAGCTACGGTAGGGAGTGTGATCTGGCTAAATAATAGGCATCATTCATGCCAATTACTCATGAAGAAAATATTGTTTTCTTAATGCAAATTGGGACTCAACAAGTCTCATCTCCTTCATAACACTAGAAACGGTAAAGAGGCATCATCAATGTTGACCAGTGATGGTATAGAGTCATCAGATAGTAGTCTATATTGTACTTTCATTAGGCGCTTTCAAGTTACACATGCTCATTTCTATCCTAAGATATCATGCCGTCAATCAATTACTAAATTTGTGCATTTGTATAGTATGTTTTCTTGAAGTGGTATTGAGAAACTTTATATAAATTGGTATAAATTGCAAATTTATATAGGCCACACTTACATGATAATGCCCATTGAGTGACTCATCTAATGGGGACTCACCTAAGGGGGACTCACCTAAGGGTGTGTCCCCTGGATTACGATTCCAAAAACCAGAGTGGGTATATCAGGTTTACAATACCCGAAGGAGAGATGGGTTTGCAATACCCAAACTAAGGCTGGGCACTAAGTTTACAGTACCCAGAGAAGGGGGATAGTTCCTGACTTATCCCAAACCAGGGTTTTTGCTTAGTATACAAACTTCCGGAATAGTGTACCTCCAGGGTACTCTATCCTGGGATACACTACTCTAGGGTACACTACTCTACGCTATCCTGGTATCCATTACCCCTGCGGTAAATGAAGGGAGTAAGCATGAAAAATAATCCCCACTAATCCCCAATAATCCCAAATCTTACACACCTGATTTCCGTGGAAGACCTCTGTGGAATTCCTTGACAATATCCAAAGCTATGACACATGACACATGACATATGACACATGTATCGTCTCCATAGTCAAGATTGTTAGTATAACTTTCTCATAACACTGATTATTTTTTACAATTATATATCATTATTATTTTATCCATCATTTGTGTAATTATCTCATTATTGGCATTATATTATTATTTTTATTATTATTTTTATTAGTAATAATAGTAGTACTATCACCAGAGTATTAGTAGTAAAAGATTTAGTGATAGTTGTTAAAATAACTGTAGTGGTAATTGTAATTGTTCAGGTATTAATGGTAATTTTTGATTAGTAGTAATCACTATAGTAGTAATAAAAGTTATAATATAATTTTTTTATCATTGTCAACATTATTAAGAACAGTTTAAGAGCTCTAAAAAAAATCGATGTTTTGCAAAAAAATTCGTGAAAATATTCAAAAATAATAATAAATATCTTTGTTCTAAATATCAAAGTAAAATATCTAAATAAAATATCTAAATATCTAAATACAATGTTTTAAATATCTTGTTCTTTGTTCTGAATATCTAAATATCTTGTTTTGTTCTAAATATCTAAATATCTTGCTCTTTGTTCTAAATATCTAAATATCTTGTTATTTATTCTAAATATCTAAATCAAATGAATATCTTTGTTCTTTAGTCCTCTAGTAAGTGAAGCTTACTTATTGATTTTTATATTATACAAATAATAAATTATTTATAATAATAATAATAATAGTAATAAACACAATAATAATATTTTAATAATAATTATATATCTCATGTGTAATAATACTAAAAATTATGACTGAATAATTCTTGGTTTCTGATGTGTTCTGTTCTCATATACCATACTGATAAATCTTGAGACGTCACTAATACACCGCTCATAAATCTTGAGACTTCACTAATACACCAGACTCATAAATCGTCACATGTCACTCATACACCTGACTTATAAATCATGAGACGTTTCTAATGCGAGTGTCACCCGACTTATAAATTTTGAGAAGCTTAAAACTTTAATGGTCTTTGACTTATCTGATGTAAAAATATATTTATTATATTTATCTATGACTAAATTGAGCTAATTACTGTGAGTACTTTGTTGTTTTCTTCATTTTTATTCTTTTGTCATCATGTAATACTGAAATTATCACTTTGAGAGACTTCAAAGTTCACAATTGTTGGCTGAACTCATTTTTTAATCTTCAATATGAAGTCGAATTCAATTACATTTTTTTTACAGATCTAGAAAACCTCTTATATAATTCTTCTGACTTTCAAGATTAACATTCAGGTACTTTGCAAATCCTTGAACCTGTTTTACAGATTTACTGTGTAAATCCACTCTTCAGAAATTCTCACTTCACTGAAATCATTCTTTATGATTTGATTATATTTCTCCTTGGAATCGCAACTCTTTATTTCTAAGCCTCTCCGCTCCCTTCAGACTTTCGCTCTGCTTAGTAAACCAGTTTTAAGACTTTACAGACTGATCTCTCCTCTTGTAACTCTTGTTCTTCACTGTGTGATACATACAGCACTGCATCGAGGTGTATTATCGCTATTGTGGAGATTTTATTTTCATGTTAAACTTCCTTGCTTTCTCCCACTTCTAAAAAAAAGTCTTACTTGTTTAGAAGGCTTTTAAGTCTTGTTCCCCCAGACTTAGACTCTTAGATCCTAATAAGAGTCTGGCAGGAATCATGCTAAGTCTCTTCGAATCATGCTCTAAATCTTCTGGGCTGAACTTAAGGTTGGCATTATAATATACTTCTGACGGATAGTATGAAGCACAAGACATATTCAGAGATAAGAAATGCAGACTCTAAATATGTTCATTAAGATAAGGAATACTCATTATAAGTTATTCATTATAAGATTATTATATAAGAGTTTAGGATACTCATCCCCTTTACATGTGGGTGGAGAATACTCACCATCTTATATATATGAGTGGACAATACTCAGTACTTTATATATGAGTGGAGTATTCAGTAGAGTATGATGAGGCATAGGCTTATAGTATAGTTCCAACAATGAGTACTCACCTATATAGGCCTATCTATATACTCACTATATAGGCCTATCCATGTGTGTTACGTCATGGCTGCCTCTCCTCCCTATCCTTCTCTCCAGCTTAACACATACCACCATGGACAGAACCCTGACTTAGAAGAAACAAAGGGATAATTAAGATAACTTTTCACTATCCTTAAAGCACTCTCGGGATAATTTATTTATACAACTAATGGGATAATTTAATTATGCACCATTAATGAATGCAATGGTGACGGTATATTCCCACAGCGTACAAATTACGGTGTTGCAAGGAGACGACAGATAGTCTAAGATAATAAATTTTGGGGTGAAATATATTATCTCGATAAACTTATTTGATTCGGGTGTTTTACTGAAATTAAAGTATATTTACTGAAATTATAACACACACATAGCGCCTCTACCTCTATGCTATATGTGTGTGTTACACATATTACCAGAAAATATGTGTAAAATAAATCTAATAATAATTATTAATATTCGAATATACAGTTGAAATATCGATATATGAAATTTTGACAGACCAATGAATCTGCTTGAGAAAATGAGAGTCTCTTATGATATGATATTAATTGATATTTTTGGTAATTTAAATTGCCTCATCTTCTTAACAGTCGAGTCAACTACTTATCTAAACCAATTTAGTTTCTAAGCAAACATGCATATATGATGATTGGATTATATATTTTTAGTTATCATCTTCTTAACTTAGATTTTGATAATTCTCTGTCATATGAAGTCTCCTGGAAGCTGTTTGATAGCATCTTATCTAAGATGATCACAGAGAACTCTCTCTCTCATCTCCAAATATTATTTTTGAAGACAATCGACTTGAGAATGGTCCAGGACGGACCGAAACCTCGTCGTCCCTTCACTTTCTAGTGTGTGGTCTGGTCAACATACTTCAGCCACGTTATTGTGACTCATCGCCTGCATTATTTTTTAATTTATATTTACTGTGAAGCAGAGCATGTAGATGAATAAAATTATTTTATTTTTTCTCTTCGCAGAAACTCACGATGAAGAGAAGTCATTTTGGTCGCGTTTTTATCCTGACCGTAGTCTTGTCTGCATCAGCAAGTGAGTATAACATATATTTTATGTGTAAATGTTACTATAATCTGTTGTAAATGGTTATGAGTTAATTAATATCAGGTACACACATAGTCAGACCAAAGAGCCAGAGCTCAACCCCGCAAGCACAACTAGGTGAGTAAACACACACACACACACACTTACACAAACCATCTATTTTGAGATTGAGAAAACATATAAGAGATATTATTCATTATATCATTACGTCAAAGATCTAATAAAAATTTTTAAATTAAATTTTGTTAAATATTTTATCAATCATCAGGATTACATAAAGGCAATTATATTCATATATTTAACAATTGTTGGTGAAAATTAACATATACTGTAAATCCATTGACAAGACTAAGCTCAAGGGTTAGCGATAATAAATAAAATTATGACGAGAATTGTAAGAAAGGTCTGAAACGCACCAAGACTACGTCTGAATTATTATATCTTCATTTATTTATCATCATTCTCATCAGCATCATCAATCATAAACTTTTGTTTCTTAGTGAGATTAAATAACGAAAGATAACGTATCAGTTACTTTACCAATTGATATATTTGCGTCTAAACTTTTATGAAGTAAGAGAAGAGATATCTAAATGAGCTCTGAAGACAATATCTAAATATATCAATTTAGTTCCTCACAACATATAAATTATGTGATATATTTGAACAAAATTTAGAGAAACATACCAGTGTTGGCATAGTATCATTTATAATGATTTGTATTAAACTATTTGAAGGTTAAATTTGAGAGTAAGTACATCATCAGGAGATAGTGCTAAGCCAGTATAGGCCTATAATAGCATTTGAAAGGGATATAAGAACAAGGAGATGAGAGAGGAGGCAGGCAGGGATGGAGGGAATGGTGAAATAAACGGATTAACTATCGGAGAAGAACTATCGGCTGTTAATTGATTTTGTGGTTGTTCTCTAAGGTGATAGAACTGATTGTGCCCTAGGGTGATAGAACTGATTGTGCTCCTCTGGAGGGTTATCAGTGATACACAATACTTTACTGACCAACCAGCAAGTATACTTTTGCCCTGAACATAATTCAGCACTTAAGTAAAGTCTCTGTGTATACACCAATAAGTAGTATACACCTTGATGTGTATACATCCCTTTAAATGTTAGATATAAGTATATGAGTATATAATATATATATATACATGTATACATATAAACAAACATATTTAAGTAATATTAAATTATCTTGAATAAATTTATGAGTGGAAATCATTAATTGAATTTTAATATAGACACTAGAATTTTGTTGCTTATCTTTCTAAAATACGAAGAGTATACCTAAAAGAGTATACCCCTATTATGAATATACCCTAAAGACACAGAGAATATTATACCTTGTAAGACTCTGAAATAAACATTTATAAACATAAATTCTAATTTCCTGTAAGAAATTACAGGAAATGTAAATTTACTAATCTTTATTCTACCGTTATTAATCTTTAGCTGAACTGTAGACATTATTTATTGATCTTGCTCACACGATTAATATGGGGGGGGGGGGTGATTACACTGCCACCTTGATCAATATTAGTTAAATGAAGTAACTATTAAAGCAGGTGATGGGATTTTGATTTATTCAATATATATATATATATATATATATATATATATATATATATATATATATATATATATATATATATATATATATATATATTGAATAAATATTGTATATTAGTATATTTAAATATTGTACCTAGTAGCCAGAATGCACTTTTCGGCCTACTATGCAAGGCCCGATTTGCCTAATAAGCCAAGTTTTCCTGAATTATTATATTTTCTCTATTTTTTTTCTTATGAAATGATAAAGCTACTCATTTCATTATGTATGAGGTAATTTTTTTTTCATTGGAGTTAAAATTAACGTAGATATATGACCGAACCTAACCAACCCTACCTAACCTAACCTAACCTATCTTCATAGGTTAGGTTCGGTTAGGCAGCCGAAAAAGTTAGGTTAGGTTAGGTTAGGTAGGTTAGGTAGTCGAAAAACAATTAATTCATGAAAACTTGGCTTATTAGGCAAATCGGGCCTTGCATAGTAGGCTGAGAAGTGAATTCTGGCTACTAGGTACGACATATATATATATATATATATATATATATATATATATATATATATATATATATATATATATATATATATATATATAAACAACAGATTATCAATAAATCGTCTTGCTCGCCATACTTCAAACTAATTTATTATTTTATCCCAAATAAATTCATTTCGTGCTGAATACAAGTGACTCCTGTAGTACTGTAGGAAACGACTGTATCCTACAGTCGTTTAAACGACTGAAACGACTGTTAAGTGTTTTAGATCGTAATTGACCACATTTAATTTATAAAGACATGTAATTTCATACTTTCACTTATTGGTAATATGTTTACATCAGAGAAAATATTGGATAGCGATATGAATATTATGTCTCTAGCCAGTAACTGGATGGGTGACCATGTAAACGCAGATTTATCCTTCTTAAAAGATTATCCGACAGAACATAGTATATGTTCTGCCTGTATATACCCTCATAATTTACATATAAATATGTGTGTATATCACGAAAATATACACGTGATTAACAATATGTACGTTCGTATTTTGTATGTATTGTATGTATGTATTTATGAATATATGTATACAAGGGTATATACATTATATACATGTAATAAGTGTATATAAGGGTATATTCAATATATACATATATTTATATGTGACAATGTCAGACCACGGAGGAAAATTGAAACAGGAATTTCCTTAAGTACTTTCGTATATTAATACATCTTCAGAAGGAGTGCCTTCTTGCTCCTACATCTTCAGACTCCTTCTGAAGATGTATTAATATACGAAAGTACTTAAGGAAATTCCTGTTTAAATTTTCCTCCGTGGTCTGACACTGTCACATATAAATATATGTATATATTGAATATACCCTTATATACACTTATTATATGTATATAATGTATATACTCTTGTATACATATATTCATAAATACATACAATACATACAAAATACGAACGTACATATACATAAATATACAAGCACGTATACACATAAGTAAACCATATGAAACTGCACAGGAAACTTGGCAACAAAAAAATAACATGTAAGTCTATCTGAGAATTTAAAAAAGAGAGAAAAAAATAGAAAGTTGCTAGTGTTACATCCTCTAGGGCCCTGTGAAGCCGCCCTGATGCAAGCTGACCAGGGATTGACAACGGGTAGAAACAGACCGAAACTTATATTTTTTGTATAAGTGGGTGAGTACGTATATGTGTGTGTGTGTGTGTGTGTGTGTGTGTGTGTGTGTCTGTGTGTGTGTCGGTGTGTGTCGGGGGGGGGGGGGGGAGGAACAGCAGCACCACACACCAAACTAGAGCTGGAGACACAGGAAAGTTAGTTTTGTTTTGGGTAGAGTAGGTTGACTTTTTTTTTACAAAAGCCGAGGATTGGGGATTTCAGAGGACTAGATTTACCCTGACAAGGAAAGCACACCTTGTTTATCTATAACCTCTCCTGCCGGTGTTCTTGGAGGGGGGGGGGGAAGGTCGGTCGTGGTTTTTGAGTTCTGTAGTGAAGGTGGCTGCCCTTCACTCTGCTATCTCACCCCTGCTATCTCACTCTGCTATCTCTCACACACACACAAACTCGCAGCTTCCCACCGCTACGTCTCAATCTTTTATCGTATATTCTGAATTTCTCCCAGGCAGATATCAATAGAATATATGACATTATACAAATATGAGTAGATTGAGAATGCGGTATGATGAATTTAGAGATCTGATTTGTGGGATTAAGCCATCAGCAATTCAGTAAGATGCTCTGAGATGAATTCCCCGACATAAATTATCTTTAATTAACCAATCAAGACGGTTATCAGGATCAAGACGTTAATAACCAATCAAGACGTTAACAGGATCCTAACTAACAAATGTAACAACGTATAGTTATTACACTGCAATACCGTTGTTAGCTGTGCTAACGCTATGTGTTTGTTGGGATGCTAGGACATATTGTTAGACGCGTTATCAGTTGCAGAATTACAACGTCTTATCCAAAGACAACAAATGGGTGCAACAGCTGAGTGTCAACATCTGAGTGTCAACATCTGAGTGTCAACAGCTGAGTATCAAGCGCAGCTGTCATTCACAGGAATCAAACACACACACACACACGTGTCACGCGCATATTGTCACGCGCAGGTGTAACACATACAACTACTCCCTCATTGTTGTAACTTCATTCACACGTCAGCTGAGTTACGGGCAAAAGTTGAGTAATTTCCCCTCCATGTGGCCCAAAGCACTCAAGCCAAATGGTTATAATGACACTATATTCTGGATTATATCTATTTTTCGATATATATTAATGATGCAGTTCATCTATGGCGCTACATATATATATATATATATATATATATATATATATATATATATATATATATATATATATATATATATATATATATATATATTTATATATATATATATATATATATATATATATATATATATATATATATATATATATATATATATATATATATATATATATATATATATATATAATGACAGTGTCAGACCACGAAGGAAGAATTGAAACAGGAATTTCCTTAAGTACTTTCGTATCTTAATACATCTTCAGAAGGAATATGTATGATTTACAAGTCAAGTATTGGACATATATATATAGGCAGGAGAGAGAGAGGTGAAGTTTGGTGAGGTACAATGAAAAATGGGAATTAGGTAGATACAAATTAGAGCCACACAAGAACTGCAGAAGGCCTATTGGCCCCTGCGATGCAGCTCCCATTTATTAATTAGTGAGTAATTAGTATTAATTACTCACTAATTAGCTCCCAGAATTAGTGAGACAAATGTGTATCAATGATCCTACTCAAATCGCCCCTTAATTGATCTATCAAAAATGGATCTAAGTTATATAAACCACTGTTAATGT